TACCACCTTTTGTACATCCTTTTGTCAGTGTCTGACATGAGGATGAGTCACAGCCATTGCTTGACCAATTTGCTCTCTGAGATTACAGTTTAAAAACACATACTAGGCAAGATAGCTCAGTGGACAAAGTGCCTGCTTAGGCAAGCACAGGGACAGAGATTCAATCCCCAACACCACATGCCATGCTGGCCCCACCCCTGGGCACTCTGAGCCCTTGATAGAGTCCAGATGTGGTGGTGCACCCCTGTAATCCCAGCACTGGGGAGGCTGAAAACTGAAGATTACTATGAGTCCGATCTGCATAGTGAGACCCTGTACCAAATACAGACAAAAACTGCACACTAGTTTACAGATCTAAACTGTATGTCAGTGATGTCCAAACAAAATAAATATAAAAGAAATCACAATTAGGCATATTATAGACAAATTTCTAAATGCCAAACTTATAAAATGTTAAAAGTAGCCAGAAACAAAATTGGCACATTCGATATAGGGGAATAATGATATGTTTAATATGTAGATTTTCAGTGGAAATGGAATAGACCAGAAAGTACCTAAAAATCGTATTTAAAATTTCAGATAAAAAGTCCTTATCCCCCCAAAAAAAAGCCAAACAAATTTCAGTCAGAAATTTCTGTATTTGCAGTGTGTTCCCAGTGAAGTTAACTGTCAGAAGAAGTTTTTGCAAGGAACATAGGTAAAATGAAAAATAATAATGGAAGGCTAATGGAAGTTACCTTATGGTAATTTTGATCTATGCTAGAGCTGGGTGAATTTTTGTTGCAAAAAGCCAGGTTGTAATATTTTTGGCTTTGTAAGTCATAAGAATTCTGTTGAAATAGTTCAGCTCCAGGGGCTTGCAGATTAGCTCAGTTGTTTACAGTACCTACTCTGGCAAACCCAGTCAAGCACAGGAGACTGCAGTTTCATCTCCAGACCCACCCTTAAAGAAGCCTAAGCCAACCAAAAAAAGAAAAAAATCAGCTCAGCTCCTTAGTGGGCAGAGCCATAGATAGTGCATAAATAAGCAAATATGATTAGCAAGGGTGTTCTAATAAAACTTTATTATGGACATTGCTATTTAAATTTCATATATATTTTGTATTTAATACAGGGTGTACATGGTCTCACTACTTTGATCAGACTCAGTAGTGATCCTCCTGTTTACAGCCTCCCAAGCACTGGACTTACAGCCACCGCGCCCAGTCTCAATTGCCTATCAGTCTCAGTGTGCCCTGGGGGCAGGGCTGGCATGGCAGGCCAGGGGATGGAACTCCCAGCCCCTGCGTCTGCCTAAGTAGGTGCTTTAATCTGCTGAGCTATTTGGCCAGCCCTCATATAGTTTTCATGTTATAAAATGTTATTTTTCTCAGTTATTTAAAAACAATTCTTAGTTCATGGGTGATAAAGAGGTAGGCAATGGGTTTGATTTGGGCCACAGACTCTAGTTTGCTGATCCATGGATTTTGGAAGGAATGGAGAAGCCAGAAATAATTTTGAAAAAATAACTAAATATTTTCTTTCCTTCTCTTAAATTTCCTTTAAAGTGAAAATTATGACATTATTTTGGTGGTTTAAAATGTGTCCACAAATTGTTTGATATTCCTCCCTTCAAAAGGCGTGTGCTCAAGGGCTGGGAAGATGGCTCAGTGGAATAAGTGCTTCCCTGGCAAGTGCAAGGGTCTGAGTTCAATCCCCAG